ATATATATATATATGTGCGCATATGTTTACATACTGTATAGATAATGTACACATATGCGTTCATACGTAGACATATCCATCTGTCTATATATATATGTATAATATTAATTATTTACGTAGAGATCTGCAGAATACAGCGAACCAGGAAAGAAAGTTCAGAAGCCGAGAAGCCAACAGGCACAAACCAAAATACAAAACACAAAAAACCATACCTAAAACACATACAATTCCTTAGTCATATTGCATGTTCAGCGGTCACCGGGAATCCTTGTTATCAGAGTCTCATTAGCCGGCCAGGAGGAGTCGCTAACTTGTCTGTTATCTTTGCGTGTGTGCAGTCACATTGCGCCTTAATTGTTCGTATTGTATGAGCCTGTTCTGTTTCTGTAATTGTAGCTTTAATCAAGCACGACGGCCGCACATGCCTATCCGAACCTCAAGCTAAAAGGCACGTGCGCGGCCAGGGCATGAAGATGGCAAGCACTTGAAAAAACCTTACGGGGAGGTGGCAGTGTTCACACCTGCAGGCTTGATCAACCCAGTGCTCTCCTGGTCAGAGCTTGGATGAGTGTTCAGTGTTTTAGACGTAGGGGTGCTGTTTTGGTTAAGCCGCCCTGTTCCTGAAACGCTAGGTAGGCTGGTAGAGGGTCAAGGGCTTTTGGGCTCACAAGAAAAGGCTTCAAGGAGTCTTGAAGACCAGGAGCAATCAGCCACGCGGCTTGCATGCGACAATGACGGCTAGAGCGAGGGGCTGGCAAGCCTGTCCTAGCCAGGTTTGCTGCTCAGCGGTGGCACTGAGAACTTTGAATCAGATTCCTCGTCAAGCACTGCAAACATGTAAGTATGTATTTATGCATGCGTGCATGTATGTATTATAGTTGCAGGTTTGTGCGATGCGGGTGTGGCAGTGTCTTTGAGCATGTTCTCAGGCATCAGGAAGCTTGGGTAATTTCTTTCGCTCGTGCACCTCATCGCCATTGACTTGCCGACCTTACCGCCATTCTTTAACATAGTGACCTTCAGAGATTTGCAGCTGCAGCCGAAAAAATTGGAGCGATACAAGCCACAGCTTAACTTCAGGCATTCGAGGACTCGAAGAAAAGGATTGGAGCCCGAAAGCTACCATACAACCTAGGCCATTCCACCTGAAAGAATTGTAAAGCCGAAGGGCCCGCTCCCACGTTCCATGCCCATGTCTTTCAGAGCTTACGACAGGGTTTCGTGAGCCATCCTGAGATTCTGGCTTCTTACAAGCGATGATTGTTACGAAAGGCTTTGCCCCGGGACCCTTGCAGCTCAGCCGTCGCATGCCACAGCCTCCTAGAAAAATCTGGAAGCAAGACCAAACGTGAAGGCTAGAAGATAGTAGCACATCTTCTGCACGTCGGAGGCCGCAATGCGGACCCCTTTCATATAAAAGCCAGCCTCACTCTGGATGATGTACTGCACAACGTATTGTCGCCCCGGGTCCATGCCAGACTCCACCTCGTCTTCCCCCTCGACCGGGGACTCAGATTCAAACTTCCACGAGTTCACTAGAGGCGCCACGCGGCATGCCCTCCCGGTCACAGACGCAGCTCGAGCAAGTGCATAAAGGAATTGTAGGACAGGCGGATAGAGCCAGGCAATCCAGAATGCCGAGTCAATGTTGGCTTGCAGAAAGTCAGGGTTGCGCAACACTCTCTCTGCGAGCAAGACCAGTGGCCCCAGGCACGACATTCCCAGAAGCACGATAGCCCCACTGAGACGTCCAGACACCTGCGGGCGAAAGCAGGAAGAGTTCGACCAAGTTCAGGAATTGCCAGGTGTTACGCCGAGTGCGAACGCTGCCTTTACCATCCTACGGTACTGAATCCCGAACGCTGCCTTGCATGAATTGTCTTAAGCCCTCAACTTTAACACCGCTGAGTTGGCGACGCCCTGCCTGCCGCAAGGTCGCCTGCAGCATGTTCCACTCGTCGATCGCCTGCTCGAGGTTCATCTCCTGTTAACACAATGAAACCCAATAGGAGAATATGATTTTCTCACGACCGTTCCATGGACTGGCCTCGCGCTCGCTCCGACAAGGATGCAAGCGCCTTCACTGAACTACTGTGATATGCCGAACATCCCACCATAACATCATAAGCCAAAGCCAATTGCCCCGAAAGACGAGAATCATCAAACTCCCCGGATGTTCAGCTGGATCTTGAAATCATAGCATGCCACTGCACCCGAGGATAGGACATCAGCTCAAAAACAAACCAGATAAGCAACAAAGATGTTAAGTGCCATGGCGACAGCCATCTACGCATCATGCTTGACTGTTGCCCACTAGCCCAAGACGGTCTCCGCTAAGGCCACTGTGTGAATAGGGTTTCGGGCTTAGGGTTTAGGGATATTTAGGGTTAAGATGCACTGTATAATTACAACCTTTAGTGGACTGTATGCCTGTTGATGCCCTATTTTAACCGTCTCATCGTCAAAGCCCTCAAACGAGGGTGGGAACTGGATCCTTGAAGAAACGGAAGCCAAAGCTGTCGATGGCAAGCTCCAAACCACCGCATATATGGAGCAGCACATATCCGACCAAGGTAAACCTTTGCTTCAAGAATTCTGCTCACGGGTTAACTATTGAAAGAGATTGCATTGAAGGAGACCAGGTGTAAGATCGCTGTGGGTTCAAAGCACTGGGACGCAACTTTGATTTGGGGTTTTCGTTCTAGAAATAGCTAGTGAGCAAAACACAGTCACGTAAAAAGCAGCTCCTGATGGCTAGCAGACACTGAAACTCCATAAATGCAAAGGAGAGAAGAGCTAGAACGTCCATGCTGCTCCAGGCTCCTCTGTTTGCCAATATACTGACGATCCCCCTGCAAACGATCATCGGGGCGAGCAGAAAAAGCATCTCCACCAAGCGCCTTTTAGACAAACGTCGCCAGTCCTTCAAGAAACCAGCCTTGAATGCGTATTCATCTAGTGACTCCTCGCTGCCATTTAGCAAAGACTGCAGGCCACAGCGTCGAAGGCTGATGGTTGCCAGAATGGCACCTGCAAAGTAGAAGCACGAGGCTTCGGTGTCAATCGCCTCCACAACGCCCATCGTACTTGCATAGACAAGCATCGAGACCAGGATCACAGGAAAACCGCCATGCGCCCACCTCGAAAAGAGGCGCCAACTGCAACTTTCCCCAAAGTCCATGATACCGAACAAGCCCAAGAGGACCCAGGAGATGCATGGCAAAGCCGTTGAAATGCTCCAGTTGTCTCGAAGTTCTCGGATCTGTGAGGGCTCTGTCTGATTGGTGCGGCTCCTGGCTGCCTTCGGAGTTGCATCCGCCGACAAACGGGCCATGACGGCATCGTAGTTCTCCCGAAGCTCATCTAAGGACATGCGTCGACAATTCTTCAGCATTCCTTCTTTGTCCCTGGATCCCTTGAGCGTGACAGCTCTTGGCTTTCCGAAGATCCTGGCCTCGCTTATGTCAGGTGCTGGCTGAGAGGCTGCTGGTTTCTGCGCGATGGCGTCTTCATCTCTGAAGTCAATGCCGACCTCAACAGACCTGCTTGCTTCCGGCTCGGAAGCCTTCCCGCGCCTGTGCATGAGCTGTTGAGCTGTGAATGCTTCAAGCTCATCCATCATGCCATAAGCAGACCCCGACGGCTTGTAGTCGGCGCTTTGCAAGCTCGGGGTGCGAGACTGCGGTTTCTTCTTCCCTGTCGCTACTAGGGCGTCCGAAGGACGTTGCTTGGAACTTTTTCGAGTTGGGTTGCTTCCACTCGGTACGACAAGCTCCTGTACCTCGCGATCGGCAGAGTTGCGATCCCCAGAGTTCCGATCCATCGAGACTTTCTCAATGGATTGCCTGCTGTAGGAGCTGGAAGAGCCATTTAGCAAAGAAGGGGCATTGTCATCTGGAGCTGCAGGCACGCGACCAGGCATTTGCAGCATGCTAGCCAGGTTGGGTGATCTGTTGGGCGGTGAAGGTGGGAGGTTCTGCGAAGCACGCGAGGTTCGCTTGTTGACGGATACTCGAGAGTAGCGTCTGGCAAGCTCGGTTTCAGCCCTCAGCTGCTCCACAGCATAACACAGGCTATCCAAAGCTGTGGTCTGGGATGCAAGGCTTTCAGTCACACTCTGCATAAAACTCTCTGTTGGGAGGATGCGTGACTCTAAGTTTGCCAGCTGGTGCAACTTGTTTCTGATCTCCGTCAAGAATGCGTTTATGCTAGGAGTGATTTCCTTTTTCATCTCACTCCTCTGCATTTCCCATTCCAGAGTCGATGTTGATGTTGTAATGCGGGCCGGCGTGTGCATCATGTCAATGCTGGATGTGATTGAAGCTCCAAGTGCTCCCAAAGGATGCTGCTCGAGAGTATCCTCCTCCATGGCCCTAAACCCCAGCCTGTGCGGGGGCCTACTGTGCAAACAGAATCCAGAGTGTTTGGGCCTTCCAAGCCCCAGTCAGGTCCTAAATGCAAGGTGCGTTCAACCTGCCACTGACGTCTCCAGTCATGACCTCGACGGTAACGTATTTATGTGCGACGACATGACCGCTACGACCTCCATGAGGCCACAATTATCTCACACCACTCTTGCTAACAGCTTCAACTTCAAGAAGAGATTCCGACGGGAGACGGATGCTTGGATATGATCTGCCTGTGGCCTGTGGCGACAACAGTCTCAAGACGGCACCGCTACAGTGGTGGGGACGACATGACTAGACTGTTGCCAGTTGCTACACCTCCACCAGAGCCGGCACATCTCTGGAGTGCCAAACAAAGCACGCTGATGACAGGTTCTCGCAGAATCCGTCACCCCTTCTGCGATCTTACGCCTGCAGGCAAACGTTGGAACCACCTTCCTATGCAAGAAGCCTGCTCTTGTGCCAACAAAGGCCTAGGCTGTCTCTCGACACATCGGTAGAGATCTCCGTCGAAAATTACCCCTGCACTTCTCCCTGTCTGTCCATAGCGAGAACGGCAAACGTGCCTTCAATGAAAGACTGAAGCTGATGCACAACGCCCTTCTTTAACTACTCAACTCAAGCCCCCCACTCAGAAGCTGTCACTTCCTGATTCGGTGAATGCAAGTGTCAATTCCTTCACTTCGTAGCCTCTGCATCGAAGCACTTCTCGAGACCCATGCACTGCTGCTTCGACCGGGGATACCGGGGAGTTTGCATGTGAGCGGCAAGGGTTCGGCAACAACACTGGCTGCATTCACTACAGACTGCGACTCGCAAAACAGCAAGCTGGCAGCAAATCAATCAATCTGACCCACGCCTCTCCACCCAGGGTCTTCTCGTGCGTCAGCAGCTGGAATATGAGGTATGCGACGTATGATGACCTCAGCATGGGCCCGCGTGGTGGGGTTGAACAGCGTGCGGTGCGGCGCGGTGCGGGGTAGGGCGGGGGGGGCGGGGGCGGGGCGACGGCGGGGCGGGGCAGGGGCGGGGCGGTCGGTGTCTCAGTTAGATGATACCTTGCCTATTTAGGTGTATGGCACCACCCCGCCCCAGCGATGGAAATCTATCTTAAGATCTCACTTCCTACTCAGGATAACATCTATCTTAAGATCTCAGCCCCAGTATGATCCCAACCTATCCTACTATAGGAATGTTGCCTACTTCTATCTGGGTAAATTACAATGCGAGCGGCTGCTCGTTGCTTGCTCCTGTGCTTGCCGGCCGGTGCCGGCGCAAGGCGCGGGTACCTTGTAGTTGTTATGTTGGCGATTATGTGTTTTTGTTGACTGCATGTTTTTTGTAAAAAGTGTTCCCAAGGTTTTTGTTGTGACTTTTCATTCCTGCGTTTGCAAACGCACGGGACTGCTTCGTTTTGATGTGTGCATGAATCTAAGGGGAGCGTCCCGTGGATTTTTTCGGGGGAGCATCCTGTAGATGCTGAAAGAGGTAACCACGCCTGTCGCATTTCCGGAAAATTAGCAGTGGCTTCGCGTCTTACCTGCAGATGCCAGCTCTCCTGTCTACCCTATCGTACCTGACCTGCCTGCAGCCAAACCCTACGACTGGTTTCAATGCACTGCTCTCAAACGCTATAGCTTTTTGGGACTTGCAGAGCCACATCCCCCAGGGCTGACGATAAAAAGTTTGCCAATATGCAAACTCCTTCCGAAATTCATTCTTTTACAGACAAACAACTTTCCCTACCAGCAGCCCTACATACCATCTTACTGCCTTGCGCATCGAGACGAAACCTCACAGATTTCCTGAAAAGGCTTCATCTTGTGTCAACACGGGCCTCTCTGAACAAGAGCTGGGCAGACACATTCGTGTCATGAGCAGTTCCATGCCCTGCGGGCATCTCTTGCGATATTTCAGAAAAAGCTCTTGGTCATCCGGGTGAGGAAGCTCTGAATGTCGGTGGTTGGCATAGATCGCTTGCATGTAAAGACTTGCCATGTAGGGCTTCCGGATCGTGATTTGTTTTTCGTGCCAATCTGCGAACTTAACGGGCTGCACAGGCCGCGGTCCCTTGATGATTCTTCCTTTGCCCTGCAGCTTCGGTCGCTGAAACGGCTGTGTTGTATGGCTTGGCTTGTCTATCCACATCACGTCTTGCCCGAGGAACTCTTTAGCAATGAGGATTTCTAGGTTGACCTGCTCTGTTGGTTCATCACCTGAATCTTGGCCGCCCGTCTCACTGACATCCTCCTCCGACATTGTGGGGACTAGAACCATGTGAGCTACCTGAAACATTTTCTGTAGAGATTGAGCGATCAACAGCCCGTTGCGTGGATGCGTCGTGCCAATGCCCAGCTCATAGCCTGCAAGCTCCTGCACCTTTTTGTGCAGGTGCTCCCCGACCAGCTCAAAATAGGCCAAACCCATGACTCGGATCTGGCTTCAAGCAATCTGGAAAAAGTTGGCCAAGATCATGCATGACGTGGTGTTGTAGTATTTGCGAAGTCTGGGCTTCCAAGTCGGGTTGAATGTCGCGCTGCTTGCTGGCCGAATCTAAACAGCACAAGAGCCATGGGTTGCAGCACATTTTGCACTTGCTGCCGATTGGCTCGCACTTCCTCTTCCAAGTTCCTGATGCCGCTGCGAGTGGCCTCGCGATTGGCTCGCACTTCCTCGCGATTGGCTCGCACTTCCTCTTCCAAGTTCCTGATGCTGCTGCTGATGCTGCTCATGATCTGCTGCTGTGCCTCGGGTACAGGACGTACGAGTCTGAAGATAATCGAGACGCAGCCGACCGGCTAAGCTGCCCAAACAATAGGGCGAAACAGTACGGGCAACAAACCTCCTAGCGTGAATCGCTTAGGGAGACCAACTAGTGGGGCCAAGAACGGATGAGAACCTAAGCCAAACAGGCGTCCTAAATTGGGATGGAAATCCTGACGAGGGGCTTGTGATGCCGTGGTTGGCATGTCCTAATGATCGACAAGGCGTGCGAGTGCATCACTACCTGTGCAGATTTCATGGAGCAACGTTCGGGGAGCAAGCTCTTAACCTTGGCCACGAGCATTCTCGTGCTTGTACAACTTCAGCCTGGGAAATTAATAGTACTTCCACCTTTGACACGCCGAGCACTTTCTGCAAGAGGTCAGATACCGTTGGGCGATCACGTAGATCGTGGCGAAAAACCATGAACTCATCAACAGCATTCTTGACTAGCACCCACCGAAATTCTGGCAGAGGCCCACTTTGCCCAGGGCCGTCAGCCATGGAAACTCGCACCACTGAGCACAAACCCTCACAGCACTTCACTTGTTCAGCAATTTTTGGAGTGTTAGCCCATGTTGTTCGCAAGGGATTGTGTCGATGGGTTTTCCACATGCCCGATGACAAGCATGATCGCAATACATGATTCGTCGCTTGATTCGAACCTGTAACCTGCAGCAAAGAGCTGCGCAAAAAGAAAGGAATCAATCCAAAGCTCGGCTTTCACCAAACCCTAGCCCAAATTCTGCAAGACCCCCCGTGCCTAGTCAGGCGTATGGCACCTAGATAGAAGTAAGTACTATTCCTAGGATGGTAACTTGGGTTGGGATCATCCTGCTGGGGCTGAGATCTTAAGATAGATCTTGGTGGGAAGTGAGATCTTAAGATAGATTTCTATCCTAGGGCGGGGGCTGGGTGGTGGCAAACACCTGAATAGGCAAGGTATCATCTAACTGTCCCTGCGTGGATGCAAGTGTTTGTCTTTCAAAAGTATCGGCTGGGCAAGGCACAGCGGCTTGCAAAGCTTGATGAAGGCATGCGAGCAACAAAAGATTAGGCTCCTATAGTCAGCTTCTGCGGCACAACCGCCTCGCATCCACATCAGGATGCTTTGGTACGACTAGTCGTGGCAAGCGGCAGCGTGCAAGGTCTCTTTGGAATGACCACAGGCCGGCACTGAAGAGCTCTGTAAGGCCCCAGCAGAACGATGACTGCACCAATTCTCGAGACCTCTGCCAGCTGCAGCTACCGAGCGACATTCTCGTACAGTCGCCAGGAAGGCAGCAGAAGAACCAACTGCTACAACGCTGCAACAGCAATATGTTGTTGAGCTACACTGCTGAGTTGTCGTTTGTCGTAAGTAATTCTGGTTCAACTACTTGCAGAAAACTGGTGCTAGTGGATGCAAGCGTCGTCGCTTTGGCGGTGCTTGTCCTCAGCATGGTGGCAGTAGCAGTAACGTGCAGGACCAAGTAGTCGCAGGAGCAGGGTGGTAGTAGTACTAATGGTCGTCGTCGTCGTCGGCGTCGTGGCAGCGGAGGCAGTTTTAGTGGCAGTGGTGGTGGCAGTGGCAGTGGTACTAGTAGTGGTCATCATCGTCGTGGCTGTCGACGTAGCAATATGCCGTAGCCGCCAGCACCAGCACCAGCACCAGCACCGCACCAGCAGCAGCAACTTCTCCAGTTGTTCCGGCTTCTTGTGCCCTGACTATTGAAACGACATGACACATCCCGTGCGAAAACCCCTTGATCCTGAAAGGAACCATTCCAATCAGTTGACCTGGGGCTTTAGCTGCTATCTTCAACTGCGCACCCATGCCTGCAGAACCGACTTGCGGTCATCGGATGGGTAGGAGTTGAAGATCGTTGGCAGTGCCTTGCAAGTTGCCCAGTATGTTGTGTTACTCCGGCAGGCGCGGGCTGCACAGCAAGATCGACGAAGCGTCGAGGCAATACTACGAGCCTACACGAGCAACGGCTTCTCCTGTTGAAATTGCACACAGGCTTGCAAAACATCTGAAGACTTCTACTGCGGCAGCGACGGCAGTGTAAGTGCACGGCAAAAGACATGCAGCTGAACATGAGCATGGCCATGCTGATCAGTGCAGACTTGACAGCAAACCTTAGAGTCGCAAGATATCGGGCAGGGATGGATTCACAGGTCCAGACAATTGCGCTGGCTGTCAAGTTTCGGGATGTACCATCATGCAAGGTGCAAACTCTGATTTCTGCACGTACACAATCAGCTAAGGAATGACAAACACCTCCACCACAACTTGGGTCTCTCACTTCTGCTCCTTTTCCATACGGGTTGGGCCGTTCTTCTCGAACTCCTGCATGCTGGGATGTCGCAGGAAGTTGACACTGAGCTGCCAGGTTGGATTGGCCATAGCCTTTGAAAAAGTGCAAGTCGGACCGAGATGAAACGGGCAGCCAGAATCATCCAGACAAAACTGGAAGACGGAGCTTGACACGAATCTTACACCTGAGTCATGTCAGGATGTACCACTCGAGGCACACTGTATATGCTTAAAGCACAGGGAGGAAGACATACACCTACAGGCAGCACGACAAGCAAACGCACATGCTCGCATTCATGTATTTATGTCTGTCTGCATGCATGCATGCATGCATGCATGCATGCATGCATGCATGCATGCATGCATGCATGCATGTCTATCTGTACACGGCTAATTAACAAGTGCATCGCGCATGCTTGCACAAGTGTTGACGTATTCATATGGCATCTTGAATGTTGTTCATCTATGTAAACGAGCGAAAACAGAGAGATAGAGAGAGAGAGAGAGTCAGGGTGGCGCCTGCCTCACTGACAATGTGAAAGGAATGGTACCGGCCCCTCCTGCAAACACCGCGGTTCGTGACTTCCAATTCTATATTCAGCTGCTACATTGCACATGACGTATCGATTCCTTCTTGGCTAATGCGGGTGACACTGGTGATCTAAACCATCCTTCGAGCCTTACCGATGCCCTCTGCGCAGACCTGCTACCGACCACTCGGCGTGGCTGTGCTTCTGTCGGGGGTCAGCGACAGTCCTTTTCCGGCTACGCGTCAGGCCACCGAGTAGGAAGGCCGTGCCCAACCTCGGTAGACAACACCAGCAAAGCCCAAAGAAAGGGGTGTTCAGTTTCAGGGACCAGCCCCATTTGCACACAGCCACAGCCAAGTTAAGCTCGATTTTGTTCCCCATGAAGTCACAATCAAACTCCCAGTCGTACAGCTGCGACATGTGCCTAGATCTGCCAATTGCACTTGAACAAGTCCTCCAAAGTTCTAGAGCTTGCAGATGCAGCTGTGCTCTCAGCAGAACCAAATAAAGAAATGTCACGAAACCTCTCAGTACTGCCACAAGAGCTCCCAAGGCAGCAATCTGGTTGAATGCTAAGGTCCATGCACCAGCAGAGTGTTCGACAGAACAGAGCCTAGAAGACTGGCCTGAACATGCATTCTTTGGAGTCTTTAGATGTTGGGTTGGATTTGGGGCTCAACTTCAGAAACTTCCAACATGTCTGACAGGATCTAACTGTCTTCGTGCCTCGCGATTTGCGATGGGTCATGAGACGAATGAAACTCCTTCACCAGCAACAATTTCGCCAGGCTAAGTCGCTTCATAAATGGTATTCTATAAGACTCCGTCCTGACATCGCATGAGTCACGCTGAGGGTCCATGTGCTCCAGCTACTGTGCTGCTGCCGTCTCTGCAAAGAGTCCGTGACAAAAAGGCATGGCAGTCGGTTCAACTTCTGACGGACGTGGAATCGTGTTCAGGCACAGCTCCTTTTTAAAGTCTCGTAGCATCTCGTCATTAACGAGAACCCAACAACCTCGTGGCCCCTCCCCTCAACCCTCCGTCAGCGAGCCTTCACTATGTCCAAGAGGTTGGACCGAATGGACCTTATTCGATGCCAGGTCTGTCCGAGCAGCCATGGGGTAGGATTGGGGCTAAGGGTCCAAAGTTGCGATCTGCGGTGCGACGTTTCAGCGTGACTTGCTGGATCTCAGCAAAGCAGCCACATTCGCACTATTTCAGGAGCTTCCGATCGGCATTGCCAAACCAAGAAAGGATGCTACCCCATCCTTGCCTAGTTGCAGTTCTGTGGAAACAACCAACCGACAGAAATGTTGCAAGATGTTGCGAGGACATTGAACTTCGAGCTCAAAGCCTGCTTTGAGCAAGACGCAACGAGTTGGAAAGGCTCACGGTCCTTTATCACAAGTCCTCAAACCCAGGAAGCTTCATTACAAACCCCTAACCTGGAGCGATAGTTGTGGCAGGAGGCTGGATCGCAACAATCATCTCGACTGCATTGCCGAAGGTGGCATTGAGCAGTCCCGTAATCTGGGCATGCTACAGAAGGTGAGTGTGTCTCCGTGTTTGCTTTTTGAAATAGCAACGGTGCAGCGCACTCCTGAGCGCCAGAAGCTCGGTTTTGCTCGATCGGATCTCAGGTTTACCAGTTTACGGCGCCATGACAGACAAAAGCTGCAAGTAGGTCCAGGACTGAGGTCCGTTTAAGCACATCACAGCGTCCAGCAGCAAAGGCTCTGACAGATTCTAAAGGGCCCGTTGTCTTGACCGGGTCTCAGGCAGTATCGTTATTGATAGAGCCCGCGAGCTCCTGTAGCGCAGTGCATCAGAGGACACTGGATGTGCATGAGCACAACTTAAGCCACATATCGAGGAGGGTGCCAGGGCCGAAATCTGGAACAAGTGTTGTCCTGACCCGAACTCACACTCAAGAACTCTCCTCCGTGGCGTCGCCCAGGATCTTTGCAAGCGGCACCTGAGCAAAGCTCATTAATCCGAAAGATGCTACGTTTAGCAGGTTGGACAATACAAGATGAATCAAAGGAACAATGAAGATGTTGTATGTAGATGTTTACTAACAAACACATACGCATACCTTAACATGTGCATGTGCGTTTGCATGATCGATGCACATGCACGCATAGACTTGCAAGTGGTTTATGCCAGTGACATCGCGAAAAACATATGTGCATGCATGCGTGCATGCAGCGATCCAGTTTTCACACCTGCCAGTCCGCAAAGCGAACCTTTGTGCTGTTGGCTTGTGGCCTCTCTGCCGACAAGGGAACTCACATCCAGAAAACGGTCGTGGCTCTTTCCAAAGACGACAGCGCGGGACTGCAAGGAACAGGCACGAATGTGGCACAATTACGCAGCCGCAGAATTACATTCCATACATCATTCCATGTTTGTCCGTTGGGAGTCCGCCTGATGGACCTGAGGTCAACAACTTTGGAGCTGATCGACACAGGGCACAGATTGGGTCTCGACTCCTAGACAGAGAATACGTGATGTATTCTTGTTACCAACAACACTAGGTAGATACGTTTGAAGGAAGTGAGCTAACCGCAGCAGACAGTATGATGTAACTAGATCTGAATCTGAGAGTTGTCCAATATCATCGCTCGGAAATCATTGCACTTTCGGTCGCACTTGCTTCTGGTGTCGCGACAACAATTTGACAATGTCAGTAACGTCTATTGTTTACAACTTCATACTTGACACACTTTCGCAGCATGCAGGCGGTGACGACACTAGAACTAGAATTGATCAAGTGACGTGTGTCCCCACATCTCATAACAATCAGAAGCAGAATGTGCTAAGATTTTCAACATTCTGCTGTGACGTCTGCAGAAGAGCCGGACAATGAGCAACTGCTTTGAGCGAGCTTTGACCCATGGCTTCTACGATTGTGACGACGACTATACTACTATCACGACTACTACAGCGCTGGTGCTACTGCCGGTCTCACTCACGACTCCATGCAGGCGTTGCTTCATGGATTCTCGCCCGACCCCGTCAAAAGTAGGGCACGGACCAGCGCGAGGAAATTCAACCAGAACCTCTCAGAGGAACGCGAGGACAGGCACACATGTCATTGTATGTAACGATCCTGACTTCGACATTTCCATGTTGCACGGACTGACAAGTCGCAGCCTTTGTGGTTGTGCAGAGCCTGAGGGCCAGACACCCAGGTATGCCCCCAGTTGGCAAAGTGGGCGACTATCTGCGTGCAAGATGCGCCGGGCACTTCCCCTTCATGCTACTGCTACTGCTCATCCTGTGCTGCTAGACTCTACTGCTACTCGTACTACTCCCGCTACTTCTATATATCCTACTCCTCCTCTTCCTACTACTCCCACTGTTGCTGCCACCACCAGCACCACCACCACCACCACCACCACGACTACGACGACTACTACTACTACTACTACTGCTACTACCTCCCACTACTACTACTACTACTACTACTACTACTACTACTACTGCTACTACTGCTACTACCTCCCGCTACCTCCCACTACTACTACTACTACTACTACTACTACTACTCCTACTACTACTCCTACTACTCCTACTACTCCTACTACTACTACTACTACTACTACTACTCCTACTACTACGCCTACTACTACT